TAGGCTCAGTGGAATAGTAAATGGGAAAGAGAGGGAAAGCGAAGAGAAGAGAGAGAGAGGGGGGGGGAGAGACGAGAGAGAGAGAGAGAGAGAGAGAGGAGAGAGAGAGAGAGAGAGAGAGAGGGAGAGAGAGAGAGAGAGAGAGAGAGAGAGGAGAGAGAGAGAGAGAAGAGAGAGAGAGAAGAGAGAAAAGACAAAGACAGACAGAGGACAGAGAAGGACAGAGAGAGAGAGAGAGAGAAAGGAGAAGAGAGAGAGAGAGAGAGAGAGAGAGAGAGAGGAGAGAGGGGAGAGAGAGAGTAGAGGAGAGAGAGAGAGAGAGAGAGAGAGAGAAGAGAGGAGAGTACGAGAGAGGAGAAGAGAGACGAGAGAGAGAGAGAGAGAGAATGAGAGAGAGCAGAGGACATAGCAGAACAGAAGCAGAGGGGCCTTCTCATATCATGCAAACCATCAAGTAGGCACTGAAAAAAAGGGGCAAGATACTCAAGGAACGACACTGTGCAAGTGAGACAAACAAGAGAGAAACTCAGATAAAACTGATAACGAAGCCACCGCCCCTGAAGGAGGGGGTCCCTTCAAAGGACTTCCTCTACTCGCTGTCATAGGCATTAGGGCTGACGTCTCCCCCGGCAGGGTTGACGAAGGCAGGGAGGGACATGGGGGACTGCGACAGGTGGGGCAGTGCCAGCTTGGGGAGCCACCGCGGCAGGGGGGAGGGTCCTGACAGTGCCAGGTGAGAGGAAGGAGAAGAGGGCAGAGATGAGGGGGACGACATGGTGTAAAGGTAAGATCGTCGGTCTTGGTACAAGTCTTGTTGGCGTCGCTGGTGTTGGTGTTGTTGGTCTTGTGGGCGGCGAGGAGACTGGTGGCGACGGTGGTGGTGGTGGTGGTGATGGAAGCCGTGGCGGTGAGTGAGCAGATGCTGCGTGTGGGGAGAGAAAGAGGGCGAGGACGAGTACAGGGGCTCTCCTCCGGTATGGGCCAGAGGAGGCAAAGTGGCCGTGGCGGAGGAGGAGGAGGTGAGAGGGGAAGAAAGAGAAGCGAAGGAAGAAGAAGAAGGAATGTCGATGGCGGAGGCGGGGAAGGAAGAGGAGGAGGAGGTCTTACCCATGCCCGAATCGAAGCTCCGAGTGTGCCACATGGGGTGGGCAGGAACGGGGGGTGGGTACTGGGCACGAACCACATCCTGCTTATCCTTCGACTTCGGCTTGGCAAAGTTGGGGATGCGGGCTTTAAAACCGCAGTAGTATGGGTCATCTGTGGAGGGAAAACGTGTGAGCAGAAGGAGCATTACGAGTGAGCATTCTTTGGGGAAAGAGGGAGAATTTGAGGCCTTTGTTATTAATATTTCACGAAGAAAGAGGGAGAATTAGTGATAGTTATCATTATTACTCTGTGGAGATCTCATCTACGTCATTGTCATTTCTAAGGAAAAAATGAAGAAAAAAGAGAGTTCCATCTTTTACTATTATCCATATTACTAAACCCGCGGAATACAGCGAGCTGGGATTTCAATAATCTTAAATGCTATAATTATGGCTACAGATAAAAAAATATTACTAAATTATTATTGGTGTTACTAAACCCGCGGAATACAGCGAGCTGGGATTTTCAATAATCTTAATGCTAATAATTATGGCTACAGATAAAAAAAATATTACTAATTTATTATTGGTGTTACTAAACCCGCGGAATACAGCGAGCTGGGATTTCAATAATCTTAAATGCTATAATTATGGCTACAGATAAAAAATTTATAACTAAATTATTGGTGTTACTAAACCGCGGAATACAACGAGCTGGGATTTCAATCATCTTAAATGCTATAATTATGGCTGCAGATAAAAAAAAAGCAAGGAGCATCATTGTCATTACTTATTAGTTAATGAGATCATCAAAATACCATCAGCTTCAATATGCAATTCTCCCCCGTTAGACAACATAATGAGGAAGACATCATGAAGGGTGTGGTGGAGGAGAAGGGAGGAGAAGGAGGGGAGGGGGAGGGGGAGGGGGGGGGAGAAATCGGGCGGTTTACTTGACCAAAGTGAAATGACGATGATGTGGGAAGGAGGGGGGTGGGGGGGGGGGTGAAGGTACCGTACAATATGAATATTTTAGTCATGTTCGTGTGAACCGGAAGGCAAGGGGAAAGGGGTAGGGGGATGGTGCTGGAGGGGGGGGGGCTATGGGAGGTTAAAATAGCCTGACATAAGCATATGCAAATTAAGACTCGCAGTCTGTTCGTACGTAACCGATTAATGCCTATTGTCTTGTCAGATCGATTGAAAAAAATGGAAAATATTATTCTGCTGTGATTTTCGTTTGGGAAAATCACAGTGCTCAAATAAATAACATACTGACTTTACTTAATTCAAAATGAAATTTATTATTAATTCAAAAATCAAAATGACTTCACTTAATTCAAAATAAAAGTCTATGAGATATTGTAGTTTGTAATGCAGAGAACATTTCGCATGATAATACTCTATGCAAATGGCAAAACGTGAATTGAGCTTATAAGATCTGCACGAACATCCGTTGTAAAGCCTTCAATGAAAAAAAATATATATATTTTATCTATAGGCAGGACAATTGAAGGAAAAGATGCTTAACTTTGTCATTTCACTTTCCTTAGCATATAAAAAAGGGACAGAAGCTATCTTTACTGTCACTGGCATCAAATTCAAGGGGAAATATTTAATCTGGCTATCTCTACTTGCACTGACACCAAATTCAAGGGAGAGATACATAATTTTTTTCCCTTCCTTCGCAGAAATCACTAAAAGCAACCACAGTAGCGGGTGGCGCAAGAGGACGACAACAACAGGCTAATATAATCCATAATAAAATCCTATGGTACGTTACATTATCTACCGCTTTTGAATGCCTGACCATGATATTTGAGACAATCCTACATTAAACGACGTAAAAAGCCAATCCAAATAACGCGATGAATTTATTTCCATCATCCAAATAACGCCATGAATTTATTTATCATCCAAATAACGCAGAATTTATTTCCATCACCAAATTGAATCTATTTCCATCATCCAAATTAACGACATGAATTTATTTCCAACCTTCTCCACGTAGGCCTCACCCACACGAATAGAAAGACAGTAAAGAACGGCAAAAATCTCCGGAACTCGCTACGTGAGTTCCAGACAGCTTACGTACCATACTTGCGGTCTTGGGATCTGTTGTTGTTGTTGCGAGACTGCAGCTTGCGGAAGGTGTTTTCATCCAGGGCCTCGGACTGGAAGGAAATGATTCAGATTATAACGATGATTAGATTTTTTTTCCTAAGAGATTGTTAGTTTATTATTACTAAACGATGAGATTTTTTTTCTAAGAGATTGTTAGTTTATTATTACTAAACGATGGTTAGATTTTGTTTTCTAAGAGGTTGTTAGATTGCTATCTTTATAACAGATGCGGAAGAGAAAGTAAAATAGAGTGATAAAAGATTTTGGTCAGTGTTTGGTAAGATAATAAGGATCTGGAAATTAAATATACATTAAATATACATTTAGATGAGAATGATATCAAATCTTCAAAACATAAAGCATAGGATAGGAATGAATATATATTAGCAAAACTAGAGTGAAATAAACGAATAAAAACACATAGCAATCAAGCATTCGAACATAATATATATTCAGTAGTCCCCCCTAAAAAAGAATCTAATGGCTGAAACCTCAACAGAAAACGAGAGGCGACGCGCGACCCCCGCCATTTTCAGGACTTTCTTCTCACCTTGCCGTTGGGTCGGGATCCAGGGACAGGGTGATTGGAGTCCCTTGGGGGTAACTTTGGAGGTTTGTCCTTGCCAGCTCGGTCCTTGCCTGAGGATCCTGAGGAGGCACCGGATCCTCCTGCCACGCTGTAGGGATCTTCGTCTGGGATGGGAATGCGCGGGCGGTTCCTGATATTTGGCATGACCCTCACTGTGGGCGAAATGTCGGGATCACGATTTGTTTGGAGACATTTTTTGGAAAGCTTGGTCTGGCATCACTGTATATGTATTATATACGGTATGATGGCTAGACAAATTCAAGCAGTTTATTAAAGTTTCTCTCTCTCTCTCTCTCTCTCTCTCTCTCTCTTCTCTCTTCTCTCTCTCTCTCTCTCTCTCTCTCTCTCTCTCTCTCTCTCTCTCTCTCTCTCTCTCTCTCTCTCTCTCTATCCCACTCCCATTTCCCATCCTCTTATCTCATTTTTCCTCCCTACCTTATTCATCCTCTTATTCCTCATTTCATCACTATGTGCCACCCTTCCCCTCTTTTTCCCTAATCCACCCGCCCTCACACCCTTTTCCCTATCCACCTCCCCTCCAATCCGCAAAACCCTCCCCATCCCCCCTCTCACCCCCCCTCCTATCCCCCACTCCCACCCACCCCACTCACCCGGAGGCAGCTTGGACTTGAGCATGTCCATGGCGACGATGTTGATGATCATGACCCAGATGGGACAGTCCAAGATGTCCTGCTCATTCTTGACGAAGGCGATCAGGCACACACACTGGGTCTCCAGCTTCGAGCGGTCGGGGTACTGGCGCCCCATCTCGCGTTTCACGTTCTGGATGAATTTGTTCATGTCGAAGAGCTGTTCGGGAGAGAGAGGAGGGAAGGGGGGTTAGCTTGGTGGGTGGTTGTTTTGTCGAATGGCTGTTGGGGGAGAGAGGAGGGAAGGGGGGGGGGGGGTAGATTGGTGGGGTGGTTGTTCTTGTCGAAGAGCTGTTGGGGGAGAGGAGGGAAGGGGGGTTGCTGGGTGGGGTGGTTGTTCTTGTCGAGAGCTGTTGGGGAGAGAGGAGAAGGGGGGTTTGGTGGGGTGGTTGTTCTGTCGAAGAGCTGTTCGGAGAGAGAGGAGGGAAGGGGGTTAGCTGGGTGGGGTGGTTGTTCTTGTCGAAGAGCTGTTGGGGGAGAGAGGAGGAAGGGGGGGGTAGATTGGTGGGTGGTTGTTCACGTTGAAGAGCTGTTGGGGGAGAGAGGAGGGAAGGGGGGTTAGCTTGTGGGGTTTTGTTCATTGTCGAAGAGCTGTTGGGGAGAGAGGAGGGAAGGGGGGGGTAGATTGGTGGGTTTTGTTCATGTCGAAGAGCTGTTGGGGGAGAGAGGAGGGAAGGGGGGGGGTAGATTGGTGGGGTTTTGTTCTGTCGAAGAGCTGGGGGAGAGAGGGGAGGGGGGTTAGCTTGGTGGGGTGGTTGTTTCTTGTGAATAGCTGTTGGGGGAGAGAGGAGGGAAGGGGGGGGTAGATTGGTGGGTGGTTGTTCACGTTGAAGAGCTGTTGGGGAGAGAGGAGGGAAGGGGGCGGTTAGCTTGGTGAGGTTTTGTTCATGTCGAAGAGCTGTTGTTTGGGGAGTCGAGAGAGAGAGGGGAGGGGGTTAGCTTGGTGGGGTGGTTGTTCTTGTCGAAGAGCTGTGGGGGAGAGAGGAGGGAAGGGGGGGGGTAGATTGGTGGGTTTTTGTTCATGTCGAAGAGCTGTTGGGGGAGAGAGGGAAGGGGGGTTAGCTTGGTGGGTGGTTGTTCGGTCTAAGAGCTTTTGGGGAAGAGAGGGGGGAGTTAACTTGGTGGGGTTTGTCATGGTAGGTGGCGGTGGTGGAGATTGTTGGCGGGGTGGTTGGTGGGTGTGGTGGTGTGCGTGGGGGTATGGTTGTGGTGTAGCGGTGTGGCGATTGTGGTGTAGATTGTGGTGCGTCATTGGGGTTGATGGTGGCTACTGTTGATGTAAAATAATACAAATGATATCAGTAACAACGATAATATCACAGCAAAGACAATAACGACACCAACACCCGACAAACCCTTTAAAACCCAAATCCACGCCCACGCCCTCCGCCCACCCAGCCCGAAACCACCCACACCCACCCAACCGCCCACCCAGCCGCCCATCCGGCCCGAAAACCCACCCACCAACCGCCCACCCAGCCATCCATGCCCAGCCGACCACCCACCCAACCGCCCACCAGCCCGCCCATCCCACACCCGAAACCACCCACACCCACCCAACGAGCCAACAACAGTTCCTCACCATAACGGGCTTCTCGTTCTCCAGGCCGAGGTTGGGGAGCCTCAGGATGTCGCTGCCGATGGCGTTGTCGTCGCTCGCCATCTTCACGTAGACGTTGGCCTTCGACACGCGTTTGATGAGGATGTTGCCGTGGTCGTCCATCTTGACCTTGACGCCCTGGGGGTGGGAGGAAGGGGGTGAGAAAGGGGAGGGTGGAGAGGGTGTTGAGAGGAGGGAAGGTGAGAGGGGGGGTGGAGAGGGTGTTTGAGAATAGGGGAGGGAGTGGGAGGAAGGAGGGTGAGAAAGGGGGGGGGGTGAGGGTGCTGAGAGAGGGAAAGTGAGACAGGGGGGGGTGGAGAGGGTGTTGAGAGGAGGGAAAGTGAGACAGGGGGGGGGGTGGAGAGGGTGTTGAGAGGAGGGAGGTGAGAAAGGGGGGGTGGAGAGGGTGTTGAGAGTAGGGAGGGGGGGGTGTGAGAGTAGGGGAGGGAGTGGGAGGAAGGAGGGTGAGAAAGGGGGGGTGGAGAGGGTGTTGAGAGGAGGGGAGGGTGAGCAGGGGGGGTGGAGAGGTGTTGAGAGTAGGGGAAGGTGAGACAGGGGGGGTGGAGAGGGTGTTGAGAGGAGGGAAGGTGAGATTGAGAGTAGGGGAGGGGGTGGTGGGTGGAGAGGGTGTTGAGAGGAGGGAGGGGGGGGTGGAGAGGTGTTGAGAGTAGGGGTGGGAGGAGGGAGGGTGAGAAAGGGGGGGTGGAGGGGGTGTTGAGAGTAGGGGTGGGAGGAGGGAGGGTGAGAAGGGGGGGTGGAGAGGGTGTTGAGAGTAGGGTGGGAGGAGGGAGGGTGAGAAAGGGGGGGTGGGAGGGTGTGAGGTGGGGTGGAGGGGAGGGTGAGAAAGGGGGGGTGGAGAGGGTGTTGAGAGTAGGGAGGGGGGAGAGGGGGGGAGTGGAGAGGGTGGAGAGGGTGTTGAGAGTAGGGGTGGGAGGAGGGAGGGTGAGAAAGGGGGGTGGAGAGAGGGTGTTGAGAGTAGGGGAGGGGGGTGGATGAGGGGTGTGAGAGTAGGGGAGGGGGGTGAGGGTGTTGGAGTAGGGAGGGGGGATGGAGTGGAGAGGTGTTTGAGAGTAGGGGAGAAAGAGTTGAAAGAGGAATGGGAAATAGATGGAGTGGGAGAGGAGTGGAGTGAGAGACGGAATGGGAAGAGGGGGGGGGGGGGTAAATGGGGATGGAGGAGGAAAAGGATGGAGAGAGGGGGTAGGATAAGGGGTAGCGTGGAAGGGAAGGAGTGGGATGAAGAGAAAGGGAGAGAAGAAGGGAGGGGGCGGAATGCGAGGGAGAGAGAGAGAGAGAGAGAGAGAGAGAGAGAGAGAGAGAGAGAGAGAGAGAGAGAGAGGAGAGAGGAGAGAGAGAGAGAGAGAGAGAGAGAGAGAGAGAGAGAGAGAGAGAGAGAGAGAGAGAGAGAGAGAGAGAGAGAGAGAGAGAGAGAGAGAGAGAGAGAGAGAGAGAGAGAGAGAGAGGTGGACAGACAAAGAGACGTAGAAAAGTAAAGCTAGAGAAAGTAAATAAAGAAATGCGAAAAAACAGTAAAAGCAAACCAAACAAAGAAAAAAAAAGTAAACAGAAATAAATAAATAAATGAAAAATAAAGAAAATGTCCCAAAAAGATCGAAAAAATATATAAAGAAAAAAAGAAAACCAGCCTACTTAGCATGCGTAAGGTCACCCTAATACCGCATGACCTTATAAGTTCACTCCAGAGGCCGCAACTTGCTTTAAGGAAAGGACAGGATCACCCACTGTTGTTCAAGGTTCACTAATGTTCACTCTATGAAAATGAACACCGAATCAAAGATTGCAAATTAATATTATATCCAATTATGACACGCAAGGACGGTCAGGTATGCACGAAGCTTAATTAACTTTTCATGTATCTGTTTACATATGTTGATATATCTAAAATGTAACTTTCGTGCAACATTAACATTTAATGATATTAGTTTCTTTATTTTCTGTATATATTAATTTTACATATACCTTCTCTTTCAAATAGATTAAGTATTATTTATGCTTGCAAATAGCTCTCTGTCTACCTATCCATTTATCAATATATCAAGTTACCTCTCCATGTTCTATCTATCTATTCATCTATCCATCTATCTACTTATCTATCTATCTACCAATCTATCCATTCACCCATCCATCCATCTATCTATCTATCTACCTATCCATCCATCTATCTATCTATCTACCTATCCATCCATCTATCTATCTGTCTATCTACCTATCCATCTATAATATCTATCTATCTGTCTATCTACCTATCCACCCATCTATCTATCTATCTACCTATCTGTCTATCTAAATACATACACATGACTAAATAGAAATACTTACATGGCCAATGTGTCTCTTGATCTCATCTGTCCTTGGGTCTCTCATAGGATTCTCGAAGCCACAAAGTCCAATCCTGAAAGAGTCAGTTGGATATCAGTATAAATCTCTTCTGTGATATCCTCGTGGGATGTGGTCTGGTGTGGCTCATCCACGTGAGGTCATTTCGGATATCTGTTTTAGTTTGATAAGTTGATAAGCATGTTGGTATTTCTGAAGTTGCGAGAAGGATCAAGATTATTTGAGAGAAACGTGAAGGGTTTCTCAAGATTTTTTTTTTTTTTTTTTTTTTTTTTAGAAAGAATGGAGATTCCGTGGGAGATTTTCTTTGCTTTCTTAATCCAATCTTTCACTTTTCATTTTTTCATTTTCATTGTGTTTTCATTCTTCATCTTAATTCTGAATCGCAGTGTATTGTATCCTCCTTTATCCTGGAGTTAAATGTACAGAGTTAAAAGAAAAAAAAAAAAAAATGTAATATATTATTCCTGAAAATCGTATAGTACGTATAGAATTATCTCATCCAATTCTAAAATTACTCAAAATACAAATTATGATTTAAGCTTATTCTAAAATTCTCCTAAAAAAAGCATTTGCCTCTTATCCCCATTCTAAATCCTTTCAAAACAAGATTGGATTAAGAAAACAAAGAAAATCTCCAAAGGAATCTCCATTCTCTCTTTCAAAAAAAAAAAAAAAAAAAAGAAAAAAAAAAAAAAAGAAAGAAAAGAAAAAAAAAAATATATATACACATATATATATATATATATATATATATATATATATATATATATATATTGAGAAACCCAACACGTTTCTCTCAAATAATCTTGATCCTTCTCGCAACTACAGAAATACCAACATGCTTCTCTCAACCGACAATGGGTTATGCAAATCACGTGGGAAGAGTAATTTATATGCAAAATTATGCAATGCATTACTGATATGGTGCATTATGCTGCATCCTGTTGCCTGATATGGGAGCAGCTACATCCTGTGGGGAATCCTTCTCTTTTCTGCTTCCCGTTCTCTCTCTCTCTCTGTGAATGCGTGTGTGTATTTAGGTGTGTACGTGTATTTATGTATGCTTGTATATATGTATGCGTATGTATGGATTCATATGAATACTGATGTATGAGTAAATGTGTATAATTAAGCGTGTGTTTCAATGTATGTGAAGAATACACACACACACAGACACGCACACGCACACGCGCATGCACACACACACACACACACACACACACACACACACACACACACACACACACACACACACACACACATACACACACAAACAAACACCCCACACCCACCCACACCCACACATACACACACACACAAAACACCCCCCCCCACCCACACCCACACCCACACCCACACACAAAACACCCCCCTCCCCCACCACACACCCCCCCCCGCACACACACACTCCCACCCCCCTCCATCCCCCGCCCCGCCCCCCGCACGCCCCAACCGCCCACTGACCTGAATCCGTCGAACCGTCGTCGAGTCGTCGGAGCCGTTGACGGTGAGCACGGGCGCGCGGGCGTAGGCCTTCGCGACGCGGCGGTTGCGCTCCAGGACGATCACCTTGGACCAGATCTCGTCGTCGATTTGTTCCCACTTCATCAGCACTTCCTGGATGTGCTC